GAGAAGAGCCCCGCACGTAAGGCGCAGTTCATCCGCCACATTTCAGGGAAGGAGTGGGGACGGAGACACCCAATCCGGCGGCCTGGGAAAGAAGGTTCCGTTCTACCTGTCACTCTCTGCTCTTCGGGGTGTGTTCCTAGCTAAAACCAGACATGAGTGTGAAGCTATTCTCGGAATCGTCGACGACAAGGAGGAGAGGAGGAAGGTAAGTTTCTGCTCTTCAACATTAACAACTCCTATTATTACAGCCATTTCATGACTTCTGTACGATTATCGCGTTCTCACACAGTCACACTTTTACTACTTAGACGCGTGCATTTATTGTGAATTTGAATTTCATTTCTTGGGGATTTGCATTTCGCTGCATTTCAATTTCATTCCGACTGGATTTAGCAAATCATTTTTATTTAATTTCCCACACCCCTATATCACCGCAGATTATTTAGCAATCATTTTCTCTCTCAACAAGGGATATTTTGGCCTTTTCTCATGCGATTGCCCATCGGGCACGTGCATGTCACCGCCCATATTATTTTATTTCCTCACCTTCATCTTTGGATATACTACTTCCGTCCCGGTGTACTTTGTCAAGTGCAAAGTAGGTAATAAATAAAAAATTGTAAAAATTGTGTGTTTGATATTTGTGTAGAGCAGAGAGAAATGTGTAAAACCAAAAATTAGTTGATTTAATAGGAAAATGACAAAGTTTTATGGGACGGAAAGAGTATATGAAAAGGATCATGTTCATCTTTTCACACAGGATGCTCCATCCAGTCTGCCGTTTGAAACGATGCTCGGTATAATTTTTTGAGGAAATTTTTTTAGTATTTCTTCATGAAGTGTTTTCATCAAATTTCAGATAAAAAATCTATCGCGAAGGCAGTCAAATAAATTTTTGAAAATAACTGTGTTCATATGTATATTTTTGCGCAATTATCTTCAAAAAATTATTTGACTATCTTCCCGATTTAATTTTTTGATGAAATTTGGTGAATATATCTAAACTTGATAAAGAACATGCTCAAAAATTTTCATCAAACAAATCCACCAGAAACCGCCCAAAAACGAGTGGACCGAACAAAAGGTCATGTCCTTCCGGCTTGACATGATCACTCTCTCTCTCTATGAGTGCTCTTCTCATCAGGCCGGCCTGACGGGATGCTCCGTCCGGCCGAGCCCATTTGGGCACCTTCCCGGTGGAATTTTTTGATGAAATTTTTTGAGCATGTTCCTCATCAAGTCTAGTTTGTCCATACCAAATTTCAGCTCAAAATTCGATCGGGAAGGTCGTCAAATGATTTTTGCAACTTAACTGGTCTGGAATATGTATTTTCCGGACCAGTTAACTTGCAAAAATCATTTGACGACCTTCCCGGTCGAATTTTGAGCTGAAATTTGGTATGGACAAACTAGACTTGATGAGGAACATGCTCAAAAAATTTCATCAAAAAATTCCACCGGGAAGATGCCCAAACGGGCTCGGCCGGACGGGGCAGCCCGTCAGGCCGGCCTGACATGAAGTTTCATCCTCTCTCTATTACTTCATCATACAAAATTCGATCAAAATTGACTTGTTTGTAGAATAATAACATAAATATTGTGTTATTGGGATTCGTATAGAGAAGAATAATTTTTAGATCATATTTATTACATGAATATGACAATTGTTTAAAACGGCTAAATAAAGAAATTTGACAAAGTTTTATGTGACAGATCATAGCAACATGCTTTTAAAAAAGTATTTAAATATAGAGTAAAATTTTTGTATACAAATATGATTAATAATTACTATAGTGTAATTTCATGATCCTTAAATATAAAAAATGGTCATAAATTACTACTTGTATAATTAAGTCACTACTTGTGTCAATTCACATTTTTATGAATAACTTTTAATTTTATCACAAATATGTAAGTATATCATTATATATTGACACAAGACATAACCATTCCCATTTTAATTTTTTTCTTTTCTATATTGAATATTGATGCATGCATCAATTCTCGTTCTTTTTTGAATCATTGAATGATCTTAATTAATATATACCTGAACTCCAAAAACTCTAGTAATTAAGCATTAATGTAGAAGGTAAGCAATTAACGAACTTCTTATAATTTTCAAAAATATTACTAAAATGTACCTCAAAAATGAAATGATTTTTGTTGACTAAAATTAACATGAGTCAGTGGCATGGTCACTTTAATGTATAAACTGAAAATGAGTACTATTTACTAAACTTATTATTATAATCACTGCACTTAAGCGCGGATGTCACATTTGTATAAACAAAGTTTAATTTAAACTAAAATATATAATGATTTCATTTACAGGACCATAAGGGCCAAGGCAACCAAGATTTACTAGTTTCATCTCCAGACGTAACTATGCAATCTTATTTATAATGACAAGTTTTTCTAAAAAGTAATTTACCCAATTCACAATCTAAATAGGTACTAAATCCAAGACCGAGTTGTTGAGTTGTTATTAGGTGGCTAAGTTGTTCTCTCAAAGTTCTTTAATTCGCGGAGGCATATAAGCTAATCTTTCAAAAGTGTGAATAGGCTCATTGATCTAGCATTGTAGCCTACTCATTATTACTCCTAATCACTATGTAAGTAGTTTTTTTAAACAAATCCGCAATCATAATATCACGAGATAATCATGCATGCATAATAACTGCATAAGAGAGAATCTCAAATAACTAACATATCATTAGTGCGCCAAACTCCGATATATAAATCTGATGTAATAATTTCTATCATTTAAAAAATGCGTCAAACCCTCTGTGTTATAAATTTTACAATTTGAAAATCACTTCTTTTGATATTATAATTAAATAGCTAAGTAAATTTGTTAAAACTAAATTATGCAGAAATACTAGGAAAAAGTACAGAAAAAGTACTCGTGGTTAGTTAAAAACAGGGTCATGTGTTTCATTTTTTTTTATCAAAGTGGTTCATGTATTTGAATTCTGTTATCACAAGAGGGTCACGCCGTTAAAAACGCCTGAGGAAGACGGTTATTAGTAACTCCGAGCGCGTCCCCCTCCTGAGCCGCCGCCATAGAGTGCAAGCGAGTCTAGGGTTTGGAAGAAGATGAGTGAACTCTATTTTAATTCCGCTTTATGCTGTTTGTGTTTTTCTTGCGAATTACATGTTGTTTTGGACGTGTTCTTATTTTCTAACAGAGAGATTCTAGAATTTAAGTCAGGTGATGAGAAGTCTGGTTTGCCAATCATTGGCTCAGTTAAGCCCATTACAAGATCAACGAATATTATTGCTTCTACAGATGTGATAGATTCTAAGTCTGGTTCGAGGGCGGACGACAGACAAATAAAAGGCTTCTTATCATTTTGTTTCATGCTTTTTCTTTGATTCTATTATCAACCATGTGACAGACGTTATGTTGATTTAATATATTTGTTGGTTTTGACGATAAAAAAAGTAGCTCCGATTTTCAAAAATGTCCTGAAAATTAAAAGAAAAATACCGAAAGGTGTGTCTCACCAAGATGACCTCCAAACCACCTTTGCCTTTGGATTTTTCGGATCTGTTTGGTTTTTTTTAAATGAATTTGCTAATATCACTTTTACGGTGGACTTTCCGGTGACAAGGGTGGCGGAAAACAAAAAAGAAGGATGGTCTAGCAGTCGTCTTGTTGAGGCGCACCTTCCGGTATTTTTCTTGTAAATTTTTGGACACTTTTGAAAATGGGAGTAACTGTTCATCGTCTTCCTTCGGCTATTTTTAACGGCGTCAGGACCCTCTTGTGATAACGAAATTCAAACACATGAACTACTTTGATAACAAATGAAACATATGAACCTATCTGAAAATGGGCACAACCACAATTACATTTTCCGTAGTTTTCCCAAAGGGAGATTTCCTAAAGTAGGAGTAAATGTAGTTTGGAATTCCAAAATAGGACTACTATTTTTTATTTCCAAAATAGGACTAACATGACAATATTTACTGTCATCTTGTAGGTGTGACTAGACCTGGACTCGGGCCGGTTCGGGCCCGGTTCGGGCCCGGTTCGGGCCTGGGGCCGGCCGGGCCAGGAAATGGGAGGCCCGGGCCCGAACCGCCGGTGGCCGGTTCCGGTCCCGGTTCCGGGCCAAACCGGGCCGGGCCGGGCCGAACCGGCCCACTTAATTTTTTTTTTGTTCTCCTATTTGATCCCCTACTCCTCCCCCTCAACCCCAAACCACCCCAAACCACCTCAAATGGCCCAAAATACCTATTCCAACCCAAAACTTTAAAAAAATTTCAAAAAAAAAAAAAAAAAAAAATCCGGCCCGGACCGGGCCCGAACCGGCCGGGCCGGTTCACCATTTGGAAGGCCCGGGCCCGGAACCGGGAACCACCGGGCCGGTTCGACCCGAACCGCCGGTGGACCGGGCCACCGGGCCGGGCCGGTTGCTACAGTGGCCGGGCCGGGCCGGTTCCGGGTCGGGCCGCCCGGCCCGAGTCCAGGCCTAGGTGTGACTGCCAAATAGTTGCAGTATAGTGCATTTAACATGACAATATTTATTATAATTAATGACAGTATTTTTCAATCATGGCAGTATTTTTCATGCATGACAGTAAGAATCTCTATTTCGGATATAAAAAAATAGTAATCCTATTTTGAAAATTCAAACCTCATTTACTCCTATTTAGGGCAATTTCCCTTTCCCAAAATACTAATCATTTACCATGTATTTTGACAAAAAAATTAGTTCATAAAAGGGAGTTATGCGCATAAATATTTATAACAGAGTTGTGTTTATAACATAACGACATGCAATTAAATCACATGAGGTTAATGTGGTAAATTTATATATTAGGAGAAGGTTTGGTACATTAAACCTCCAAATTTGTCATGATTAAATCAAGACAATTTTAAGAAAAGTGTTCTGGAATCTGTCCATAAAAAATGTTCTCGAAATATATATCTATAAAACAATAACAGGAATGCTCCAACTTTTATTAGATGCAGGGTTACCATTATTTCAGGATATAAAGACGTTCCCTAAATTACATTTAGGGACGGAGTTTTATAATAATGATAAATTAATTAATAATAGAGTAATAATAACTTGACTAGATTGAAGAAATCTATAGATCTAGTACCAGTATTGAACTAGTATTCGGGTTGCTACAAGCAATAAAATAAAATCAAGTATAGATCTCATATAAATACGCATCTATTTCTGCCATTGATTACATATGAGGTAGCATTTGCAAAACTTTACAATCTCAAACCTCTGCCGGATGTGTCACAGAAACAACACTGTTAATGATGACCGAGACAAATGAATGAGCTTGCTTCTGCGGACAGAGACAAAAGACTATATATACTCGGTAGCTAATATGAATGTACACCCCTACACAGATAGCAGTCCATGGGCATCACTTGATTGTAATGTAACGGTTTGTTCCATGTTTAGCCCAATAGTTCTTAAGATCAAGGGGAGTAGACAGATCGTGGCCGACAGCGGACATCCTCGTAAGCAATCTGCTAAACACACTCCCGCTCATCTTCCTGCCCGCGATCCGCCCATGCCGCTTATGTGGCAGTGGCGGGAGTGGGTACTCTGACAGAGAAGTAGTGCAGCAAGATGACTGCCAGCCGCCACTGCCCCACTTGTAGCACTGGCGGGGTACTCCGGTGCATGTGCAGACTGGGGTTGGCATTGTGGACTCGTTGAAACTGATCTGGTTTACGGTGAACCCACCCTGGTTCTGAGCATCCCATTCAGCTTTTGATCCGTCTGTGGTGACATGCCTATTCAAATCCTCACCAACCCTTTTTGCCGTTTTCGGTGAACTACTCTTAGATTGTTTCCTTTGTTTGATGGATTCGGATGAGATGGCGGATATGGGGACTGCATCAGTCACGTGGGGCGTGTTTTGGCACTTTGCCCCGCACATTCTGTAACTAAATCCAGCGCTGGTGTTGTTGTCTTGCTGAAATTGGAGGGCCGCGATCGCATTGTCACGTTCTCTTAAAGCATTGTCTCTCTCAGCAAATGCTGCATCTCGTTGACGGATGACGATGTCTCGCTCTTCTGTAGCTGCTTTCTTTTCGGCAAGAGCTCTGTCTCGCTCCTCAATGGCTGCATCCCTTTCAGCAAAGAACAGCTTCAGGTTCATAAGAAAAGCATTCTGTTCCTTCATCTGATGATGCTGAGAAACCATGCTCCACTGAGTCATGAAAGTAACAAGTGAGAAAAGACTTAGTCAGTGTACTTAGAGAAGATATAAGACATGCTCATTTGGACCTGAGATGGTCAAAACTCAAAAGCCCTGACCATTAATTCATAAGGAAAACAATTCAAATTGATATGGACTTGTCTTAATACATACTCCAGCAGATTACCTGTGGGTGACCACCTCCTATGTAGCAATCCATCCTGTCTCGCCTGTTCTCTCGATCACAATCATCCATATTGATGCAAGTAATTCAAGAGCAAGTATTCCTATTAAGCAAAGTCTATACACGGTAAAACTTGATATCTGCCCAGGAATCACATAGCATTTGGAAAAAGGTGCAAGTGTTCAATTAGAGAATTAGTGCAGGAGCAGTGGAGCACACAAAAAATACCTCCAATAGAACGTAGGCCTAATGTGTAAGACTATCGTACTCAGTAAAAATTCATAGAACATAATTAAGTATGTAAAAATCACTAAAGTCAAATATCTTCATAACTATGACTTTGCAACTAAAAACTATAATTGCATGATAGGATTTTAAATTTATTAAAATAATCACATGTTTAAGTCAACTCTTCAACACATAAAGGCATAGAACAACCAGCAGTGGAGCAGAAGATGAGTCCATTGCAACTTGCAAATGCAAGAAAAAACGGTCTACGTAAACTCACAGTTGAGCATAAGGAAGTTGGATTTAGAAAGCAATTAAGTAGATAGCAAACAGAGGTTTAGAGTTTTACATGGGCTGAGATTTTTTTGAAACCATAAGCAAGAGCATCTTACCTCTGTTTGTAATAAAAAATGTCTTGTTATGATAAACTACGTAAGAATAGCAAACTATTGCATATAAAATGATTAATACTTCCATGACATTATAGGTGTAACCCTCCTAAGTCCACCATGATGTGCAAGCCTCACCTGGTTAAGGTGCAAGCTTTCTGCATAGCAGGGAAAAATGAAAGCCTGGACACTTCAGACTTCAGAGTTACTGCTATTTTCTAAAGTCCCCCCTTGAATTGAGCCTCAAGGTGCAAACCAGAATAGCATTTTAAAGCATGTATATAATGAAAACAAAAATATGGTAAATGAGTTTCTCCAGACTAGTTAATAATGATTGTAGACGATCCGAACAAAGAATTCAGCATTCTGTCACCAGGTAATTGTGCATTGTAAGGCTTCATTATTATAAGGAACTGGAGATGACTATTTACTTTTTAGAACATGACTAGCATTCATTACTCTAAATATGAGAAGTATGAAATGTGCACTAAGTGGTTTGCTAAATACCTAAATACCCCCCCCCCCCCCCCCCACCCAAAGCAACCAGAGTTCAATTACCACTAGAGGAACCAGGACCTGCAAGGCCTCTGGTGGGTCTTCCATAATGTGATGTTGTTCGGGCCAACTCACCACCTTCAATGCATGATCCAACTTAACTAACCTATTGCGTGCGGAAGTGCATAACTAGAAGTAAGCTAAACTTTCCATAGTGTAAATAAGCTTTTCTATCGTCCACTCTTCATTACTTCTAATCAGTATCTTAAGTACATTTTTCTTCAAACAAACAAACATTCATGGCACCATGGGACAAGCATGTATGCATTAGAGATAATCCAAAACAAATAGTTAACTAACACAGCATTACTGATTCACTTCCAACCAATCTAAATATCCAAAGTTTCCAGTATGTGATTAAATCGCTACAACTTAAGAATCACTAAAGTGTTGTCTAGGGTTTAAGGTGCAATTCTTTATGAAAAGTACAAAATGCATGTGGATAAAGTGATAAACAAATGTCAGATATATGCTAGTTCTACATCGCCAGTAAGTCGGTTAGCACTGTGGCCAATCAAATGAGAATGGCGCATCTCCATCGCTAGGACACTTGCGCCTAGTCAACGCCTAGGCGACACTTCAATAAATACGATATGTTCTAACTATCAAGTCAAATTCAAAAAAGTGTTTTATGTGCAAGTACAAGGCAATTTTAGTATGTTTTCTTTTGGACTGTTTTCAATCCCAGACCAGACTTCCGTAGTTATAAAATACACAAAGACCAGACGTTTACCAGACCAGACCAGCAAATTTCAGTCCAAAAGAAAACATCCTAACTTGTCAATAGTTTGAGATGAAAGTTTAATATAATAAGGGAAAATGTAAACTAATAATCCAACCCTTTAGCGGCCTTCTTACAATAGTCCCACCTTTTCGTTATTCATGAATAATCCAACCTTTGCACCTCATCTTCATTCACTAGTCCCTGACCGGTTGATGACCTGCTATTCCAAGTTATTTTCTTATCTTTGCAAACCATTATACCATAAATCTCACCTTTTACAAAGATAATATTTTGCAAAGATAAGAAAATCACTTGGAATAGCAGGTCATTAACCGGTCAGGGACCAACGAATAAAGATGAGGTGCAAATGTTGAATTATTCTTGAATAACGAAAAGGTGGAACTATTGTAAGAAGACTGCTAAAAGGTTGGATTATTAGTTTCCATTTTCCCTATAATAAATGGGTCATTATGGGATTAAAAAGGCCATAGGGATTTCAATCTAGTTAAACATTAGTTTAAGATTTAATGATTTAAACATTTTGTAATACTACGAATCCTTACAGAACATCTTTGTGTGGAGATGGGAGGAAGATGAAGATGGTGTCAGTCTAGAACCAAATGAAGAAGTTAAAATTGCTTAGATGATGAGATACTCTTTACTCTTTAGATGTGTAATGAATTGTGCGAGTAATGGTGGATTATATTTTTGTATTTATACAAAAATTATTAGACAAAATATTTAGAATATGGAAGCATATATTTTTATAATAATACTACTAGTTCAGGACTGAAAACAAATCTAGAATCATACGGAGTAATTCCTACTCTAATGTTTGCCCTAGTAACGATTTACATACTTAGCCCACTGCTTAAAAATGCCTCCTTATCAAGTTAACCTTTCAACTATTAGACCATCAGATCATAATAGGATCTAAGTCAACTCCAAAATCATTTCATACCCAATATTGGTGTTAGCAGTTATCTATAGAACTCATATTACGAGAAAACAAAACTAATATAAGTCTAGCTGTTCTGTGTCATAAATTTACCTTCTGAGTCCTTGGTTCTTATGCTTGCAGATAAAAACTCACCGCTTGTTGGTAGAGATGTACACATATTCGATAAATCAAACACACATAGTATGAGGGAGATATCCCCTCAATAGAAATTGAGAGAAAGAGAGAGTCTTTGAGCACTCAAGGGCACGAGGCAGTACAGCAATACGATTTTCCAGAGAAGTAAACTGTACCGCCAAAAAGTTATAGTGGTACTCGTGAGCTGTGATAATAAAAAAATGGCAACCACCGCAAGTTGGGAACTTCTTACCGGGACACTACTGTGAGGAAGGAGGTCGGAGAGAAGCAGAATCTGCCGGAAAAGTGGAAGAAACCCTTGGAAAAAACAAGCTGCTTTGAGTGAATCGCGCGAGCTTTTGTCGCCACCACTCTTGTGCACTTGTCCGGCCGGTAAGGACTGAATTAAATTAAATCAGTTTTTCCTAAAATATACTCCCCCTCCCATAAAATTTCACTAAGAGCATCTCCAATGGTAAAATGTGCACGGTGCACATGTGGCATGAGAAATGACCACATAAATATTAGTAAATAAATTCTTTCTCTCCTTATTTGAATGATTTTATACAATTTTGGTAAATTTTTCCCTGCAATGTCAACAACAATGTCAACATCTAGACGGTTTCCTTGACATTGTGGAGAAAAACTTACCAAAACTGTATAAAATCATTCAAATAAGGAGAGAGAGAATTTATTTACTAATATTTATGTGGTCATTTCTCATGCCACATGTGCACCGTGCACATTTTACCATTGGAGATGCTCTAAGAGCATCTTCAATGCTAAAACGTTAACGGTGCATACGTGGCATGGAAAATAACCAATTAAAAAACAATAAATATAATATCTCTCTCCTTATTTGAAGGATCTTACATAATTTTGGTAAGTTTTTCTTCACAATGTCAAGCAAAATGTCAAGATGTAGACATTGTGATTGACATTGCAGACAAAAACTTACCATAAACACATAAGACCGTGGAAAGAAGGAGAGAGATATTGGATTTATTGTTTTTTAATTGGTTATTTCTCATGCCACGTATGCACCGTTAACGTTTTAGCATTGGAGATGCTCTAAGGATGTTCTCAACTAAAATTTGTTAATTTGGTTTATTCTGATTAAATCTGATCTGATCTGGTCGGAATTGGTCTGATCTCATTTGATAAATGTTTAGTATTTGTATATTTTAAAACTACGAAAATTTGATCTTGTCTGATCTGATCTGCTTAAGTCTGATCTGGTCTAATCGGACATGTTTAAGTCTGATCTGGTCCTGGACTGGAAATAGTTCAAATAAAAACATCCTAAATTTGATTTATATATAAAATACGAAGTAATAAAGTAAAAATTATGTGATTGAAATTTATGCAGGGGAGAGGAAAATGACGTTAATCACATGTTTGTTACTTTAAATGGAAATAACAATGTTTTTTGGAACAATCAAAAAAGAAAATTTGCCAAACAAGAATACATGTTCTCTTATTTTATGGGACATATGTAGTACAACGTACGAATAAAAATAGGCGTTCTCGGTATAAATTTGGCCGGGTCTGGTTTGATCTGATTTGTTTAAGTCTGATCTAGTAAATGTCTGGTCTCTGTGTATTTTATAATTGTTTAAATCGGGTCATGTCTGATCTGAGACTGAAAACACTTCAAAAGAAAACAATCTAAAAATACTCTTGGTCACCGGACTATTGTTGTCGGCCTCAGCCACCATCCTAACCCCAACACTAAACTCTAACCTTTAACGTTAAGTACAAGGATGTTCTTCCCCACACACAACATGTTACTCTTATTTAGGGAAATTTAAACATGAAGTCTTAGGTTTACACTTCCCTTATGTACTTCGTATTAGTCTTATTTTAGGCCATTTCTTTAATATTATTCAAATAAAATCAATGTGGGATATGTGACTAAAGTTACTGCACTAATTTCACGGTCATTAAAATGTACTACGTATATAATTATACATAATCATAGTAACTAAAAGTCACTAATATAGTAATTTTGTGTGAGAAATCACATTTTTGTCCAATGCCTTAATTTTGATAACGGAAAGTGGAAATTAATAATATCTTTTAGCGGTACTCCTTGCACTAGAACGACACGAGGTTGGTTGTCGTTTGGACGACCAAGAGACCAAATTGTCACCAAGAAATACACAATAACTAGAAGTAGATCGCCTGGTATCCGGACATCGATATCCTCCCCAATCAGCATCAGTATAAGAAATTAACTTAGTGAGAGAAGATTTATAGAGGTGTAGTCCGAGCGATAGAGTACCTTGTAAATAACGTAAAATGCGCTTTAGAGCATTCATATGTTCATCCCGGGGATCGTGCATGTGGAGACAAACCTGTTGAACGACATAAGAAATGTCTGGTATAGTAAGAGTAAGATACTGTAGAGCACCGGTCAGACTCCGATACTTAGTTGGGTCCTCATAAGGAGTGTCCTGAGAGGCACTAAGCTTAGATTTAGTGTCAACTAGTGTGTGACAGGGGCTGCAATTAGACATGCCGGCTCTCTCCAGAATTTCGGTGGCGTACTGTGTTTGAGATAAGAACATACCGTGAGGAGTACTTGTGACAGCGATGCCCAAAAAATAGCTCAAAGGACCAAAATCTTTCATAGCACACTCGCTGCCCAAGAGAGTCAAAATATGCTTCCTCAGATGGTCATAAGATGTTGTAAGAATAATGTCATCAACATATTACAGAATATAAGTCATGTCTGAACCCTATTTATAAATGAACAAGGAATGATCAGATTTAACATGAGAAAAACCAATAGTGAATACAAAATCAGCAAAACGCTGATACCACACCCTCAGGGCCTGTTTTAGGCTATGTACAAGAGTACAACTGTTACAAACGTAAAGTTAGGCTACGAATACAAGACTGATTAGCTACAAATCTACAATTAAGGGATAAATATTAGACTAATGATGAGGCTAAGTATACACTTAACAAATATAACAAATATATAGTAAACACAATGCATTCTCTATCAGTTTTGAGTTTGAGTAATTCATGTAAGTGTGATATGGATGTAGTGATCTTTGTACTTATGACTTTTACGTGTTTTTGGTGAAAGCGGTAGGGCTTTGCTCCCGACTATGATGTACTACTACTTAACGTTTATTTAAGTTAATATGCACAATTACTAGGTACACAATTAATACACAAATCATACACAAAATCTCATAATTATCTGTGTAGACAAGCAATACGTTTGGAAAAAGGCATAATTTTGTGTCACGCCCCGGACCTACCGGACACGTCAACAACCCGCCGTACAGTACGAATAGTCAACCGCAGTCCAACTCATCCATACTATACTAGGCGTCTTGAATATCATTCACAATAGTACATCCATAAACAAACATAATGTAAAATAATCATTTAAATCAGCGGAAACGTTTAATACAAGTGTTTATGCCACACTTCGGCAACATGGGCGTACAAGCCCCAAATAATTAATCAAAATAATATCCATGAGCATTAATTTGAATATTTTTAAAACAGAAGCGGAGGAAGCACGAACCACGTCTTCCTTCCTTGATTCTCCCGAAGCAACGGGCACTGGTAGCAATCTCAACTCCTACCTGAAACTGTGAGGTGGCCTCCCCCGTGAAGGGGAGGTCAGTACTTGGAAGCATTTGACAAGTACAATGACAACTATACTAAGTATAATCAACGTTTTAATTTCTAAGACCCTCAAAATAGGGTGATATCATAATATAAATAATAATTTATATTTCCCACTTATTATCTCTATAATAAGTAAATTTATTTATTTGTCGGCACACGGCCCATTTCATATATTTCATTATACCCGTCGTTAGCACGACACCGCCCGTAGGTCTTATCATCTTTTACGAGACTTGTCACCGCTCTCCGAGGCCTCACCGGGCTCTCGGGCCGGAGTCCAACATCCCGCCCCTGAACTCATACCCATCGTCCCGTAGGAAGGTAAGGTCCATTCGGGGTCCTATCTTATGTGTTACCGCTGTCGGGAGCCTCGTAAGGTCTCCAGTTCGGATTCCACCCTAACCCGTGATCACGATGTAAGTCCATGCTATCCAACCCCGCTCTCTAGAGTCGGGAAGGGCCATGGTCCTTACTAATTACCAATACTCTATCGGCTAATCCTTAAAGACTACCGAATACACCCGTAGGCCAATCCTATTCCTAGGATCAATTTATTATTCTCTTTATCTTGGGTATCCCTTAAGGCCTACCCCTAGCATCACTTATCCACCTTAGTATCTCTTAAGACTACTTAAGGCTCAACAATTTACAATCCAAACCTTGGATCAATTCTAACATATTTCATTCCAAAACCCCGACTAGTATCATAATACTAGTCAGATAAATTCCAACAAAACTCATTTTCAATTCATAGTCATATAGACAATTTCCAAACTAATTTTCCATTGAAAATATAGTTCATATCAATATACAAAATATAACCTTTAATCACTCATATATCCTTATATGAAGTTATAGTTATATTTCAACACAATATTTATAACTAATCCTTTCATCAAGCCAATATGCTCATATTACATAATCATACACAATTTATCCTTAAATTTGTATATTATGCTCCTTTATTCATTGACAACAATATTTTCATTTAGGCATTATTAATCATTAATAATCCATGAAAATCACATTTATTTACTTTAGGTAATCCTACGAAATTAACCCAAAGATTATAAGCAATATAGTCAGCCATCCTCACCTTACGAAGTGCTGAAATAGTTGCCTTTGTTAAGCCTTTCGATCAATCCCCGTTCTAAACCGATTAGAAGTGGAAATCCTGACCAGCAGACGAAAGCCGGGCGGCTTTTGTCAAAGGTGGGCGGCTTTCGTGGTCTGCAGCTACGAACAGCTCCTTATAAGTGGCGGTTTCCGGCAATTTCAACTCCTATCGATTTCACGACTCTTTTAAGTTAAATACCACCACTTTATAACATTATTCCACACTTTTAAACGTGTGGAACTCCATGTTTAATCCACCATATGATTTATTAAAAATCATACGCAAATAAACTAGTTAAAAGATTAGTTGTGAAGTTCTCACCTTGAACACAACTATTTCTTATGGATTTTTCCTTTCTTCTTGATTCCTTCAACTGGAGCTTAGATGAAGAGTTGATGGAGCTCTCTCTCTCTCTCTCTCTTCCTCTTGGTTGGCCGAGTGATTGCAAGGGTGGAAGAAGTATCCCAATGCAATCAATCCAAAAATAATATGGAGGATGGGGTCATGGGTGTATTTTCTTGTCCTTAGGAGACTTCCTCCTCTTTGAGTCCGCACAACCCATTTTCCCTTGTCCCCTCCAGCTCTCATTCAGCCCATTTGTACATATAAAAATGTGGGGTGGCCCCCACTCATGTGGGAGGTCATCCCATTATGTCCCGGTGTGTATAATTTGCCCCGAAAGTCGTATTTCTCGGACCATTTTAGTTATATTTTATTTTATCGGGCCGGATAAAATATATCACACGTTTTAATGGTTATAGGCCCTTAGAACAGATGTATATTCCCCAACATTAATTTGGGAGTCTCCGAAATTTCTTTCGGGCTGTTATCCGATAAATGACTAATACCGGTAATTGGGCCTTGTTTGACCAACCGGTCAACTCCAAGCCCCTTTCCATGGCCCGATTTAGAATATCCACCACCATATACATATTATCTAGACCAACGATGAATATAATACGTGGTTCTGGAATTATCGGGCGGTCCCCATTCCCGATGTGGACCCCATATGCAATTTACTATTCACGTAAAAGAAACGATAAAAATTTACAATTACGCAAATTCATAAATCATCTTTCAAGGTTCATTACATAATTTACTAACCGTAATTATGCTCGGTGACGGTGCTACATTTTGTGTCAAAATGTTTGTGTGCATAGACAATGTACAATTTATGTACACATTTTGTGTACACCAAGTTACCAACAATGACCATACTAATAACCTTATAAGGCTCGAACCAAACGCCCCCTAAAGGAGATCTTATTGGCATCACAGAGGAGTGGACATAACGGTTTGGTTTAACCGAACTATACCAAATCGAACTAAAACGAACCGAAACCGGACCGTATGCAATTTGGTTTGAGTTTGGTACTATTTCTTCCAAATCGTATTAAACCGAACCGAAACTGATAAAAACAGAACAAAACCACACCGAACTAAAGAAATTCAAAAAATCCTTCATAAATTATTAAAAACAAACAAATCCAAACCAAACCAAACCGACCTAAACTGAAACGAACCGAACTGAAACCGAAAAACCGAACCGAAAACCGATATGCTCAGCCCTAGAATCACATACTCCCTCCGTTCCTAAAAATTCTTCCCGGTTTGAATTGGCACGCCTATTAAGAAAGTGGAATAAAGTGGAAATGTGTGGTTGTGGTTGTGTGAGAAAAAAGGTTAAATGAATTTGAGCCACACAAATTGTCTAAAAAGGGAAAGTGGGAAGAATTTTTGGGAACGGACCAAAAAGGAAAGTGAGAAATATTTTTGGGAACGGAGGATAGAGTATATAAATCACTTGTGAAGTTGTGAGTTGAGAACATCGTCCGGTTCAATCCCCAACCCTGCGGTACCAATCCGTTTAATCGTTACGGACAAAAGCAAAGAAAAGAGAAAAGACCAGAGCTAGCAAGAGATCGATTATCTCAGATCCCAATCCGCTCAAAAGATCTGAACAATGTCTTCGACCTTCAGCGGCGATGAGACTGCTCCATTCTTCGGTTTCCTCGGCGCCGCTGCCGCTTTGGTCTTCTCCTGTACGCGTCTTTCTGTCGTTCACCATATTTCTACCCGCATATGAAGTTTTCTATGCTGCTTCGATACGCATCTAATCTGGATCTGGATCGATCGATTAATCAATTGATTCGTTTTGCAGGCATGGGGGCAGCTTACGGAACAGCGAAGAGTGGGGTTGGAGTGGCGTCGATGGGTGTGATGAGGCCGGAGCTGGTGATGAAATCAATCGTCCCGGTTGTCATGGCTGGTGTGCTAGGTATTTATGGATTGATCATTGCTGTCATCATCAGTACCGGAATTAACCCTAAAACCAAATCCTACTACCTGTTCGATGGGTACGCTCACCTGTCTTCCGGTCTGGCTTGTGGCCTTGCTGGCCTATCTGCTGGAATGGCCATTGGAATTGTTGGAGATGCCGGTGTCAGGTTATTGTTTTATACATTCATCACCCATGCTGTCGTTTTTCTGCTCTCAATGCAACTGCCTAAAACTCTGAAACAAAATTAATGCAATTACTTCAATCTAGAATGCAATTTCCATAGTAATAGTTCTTATTTTGGATGGATTGGCTTTGTTATTGAAGAAATTGCAGATTTGAACATTTGGTGCAAGAGTGCTTCTATTGCAGAGATAAGAAGTTGAATGTCAAAGATTAAGAGATACTTTAGAACATAATGATGAAAAAGAGTGAAAATTTGTATCAACAACCTGATGATCATATATAACTTTTGCGTATGACTCTTTTTAGCATGTTTTTCCAATTACATGAAAAAATAACTTCATTAGATAAAAAATGATTCTTTTATTAGGATAAGAATGCGTGGGAAATAGGTTGTGACTTGCCGATAAAGAAGAGCAAATGTTTAGGTTTCCGGGTATAGTTGGATTCAGGAAGGTGTGCTCTTTTGTAGTATTTGGTCATTGGGTTATATGCGTGCAATTTGTGAATATTTAGCGCTTACCAAATCAAATCAAGATTTACATACTGAGGGTATGTTTGGTTCAAGGAATGTCAGATAACCATGGGAATGTTAGATTACTGGGTATGTTAGATAGATGGGAATGTGATTAATGTATAGCCTATTTGTGTTTGGTTACGATTAAGGAATGTCACTTTAAGTTGTTTGGTTGAATGATATCTTTTATTGCATATTTGGTGAATTACTTGAATGTCCTTTATATATTTGTCTCTTAACACATTAAACTTATCAATTATTAGAAAATGTATTTCATGTTTTATTTATTTTTCTCAATTTTCAATTGTAGTTCATGTTTCAAATAAATATACTTTAAGTTTTTATATGTAGCACTTCTTGAATTAATTTTTAGACATGAATTAGAAAAATGTACCCGGCCCGACCTGTTACCCGGGCGGGTAGACCGCCCTGAACCGGTACTGGTCAACAGCCGTTCCGGTCCCGGGCTTCATTCCCAAAAAGCCAAGCCCATCCGGGCTCGACCCGGAATCGGACTGGGCTCGGTCCACATCTAGATATTTCGATTAATGAAGCATAGGTTTTTTTTGGAAGAAAATTAATAAGCCATCGGGAATCTAACATAACCTAAGGCATTGGTGGGTTTGACATGCCTGGTAATGTGATCACCTTTTCCATTTTTGGGAATGTAACATTCCCAAAAGAAAAAATCAAACCCGCGAACCAAACACAGGTATCTCACATTCCGGGCATGAGATTCCGTCATGCATAAGATATCACCTTGAACCAAACACTCCCTGAGAGTTTATTAATGGCTCTATTTGGCATGTTTTATCTTGCATTTACTTCAATAATTTTTTTTCTTCCATTACTCTGGGATTCATCATTCATGTCATACTGTAATCTGACTTGGTTAATCTTCTTTATTAAGGGAGTGTCCGCAAACACTTAAAAAGGTGTTTTTCTTGCTTTCGCTTAAAAAAACTGAATTGAGTGTTTTCAAATGGCAATTTCTTCTTAAATTAAGCACTTAAAAGCTAAAAGATGGAAGCAGGTGCAGGAGTGTTTTAAACTTCTTATCATGTTTTCTATTACACAAATAGCACATTTTTGCTGAACAATACAAATTTTTACTTTTTCAATAGCAATATTTTCTCAAACACTACAATTTTTTACTATTAAGCACTTTGTTTTTAAAAATCTCTTTTTAAAGTAGAAGTAATTGCAAACACTCCCTAAGTAGTACATTATGTTGGAAGTTCTCGCATAGCAATGTGGAACCATTTCTAGAAGAATTATAAGTTGCTTATTTCAATCTTGATGCATAAGCTTGCCCCTTTCCTGAATTCTTCTTCTCACCTTAACTTTGCACTTATTAAGAAAGCAAAACTACGTGCTTTAGTTTTTTATCTAGAAAAGCTGAAAACAATATCAACCACACAATTCTTTTCTTAAAATGTTACAGAAAGAAATTTTTAGAACACCCGAACGAACTTCTGTTTTAGGAAGAATAGAGTATAGATTAAATCAAATGCCCCTTGTAAGATGTTTATTTGATTTGAGTTTTCTATTGTGCAAGTGTGAGATTACCTCACATTTTAAGGATCCCTTTAAGATGAGATAGCCCAAACTTAATATTAAATTATAAATATTCACAATTTTCTTTTAACTTGCAGGGCTAACGCACAGCAGCCCAAGCTATTTGTTGGGATGATCCTTATTCTTATTTTTGCTGAAGCTTTAGCACTTTATGGTCTCATTGTTGGCATTATCTTGTCTTCTAGAGCTGGCCAGTCCAGAGCAGATTAAAAAGCAAAACTGTGGGTAACAACTACTACATTATTGTAAGTTGTGTGTTACACTTTGGAAGAAAAGAAAGACACCATTTTCTTAAAAGTTCAGAAACTTCAGATGTTCCAGGGTGGTCTTCATTCTTTGACTCTCATTCCTTTTCCCTCGGTTATTTGTTTGTTTCCTTTTCTTATTCTGTGCTCATAACTTAATAAGTAGTTTGCTTGTACTGATAATTAGTATTACGTACTTAGTTTTGTGCTGAATAAGAGTTCTTGAATGTGTTCATCTCTAAATTTTGCCCATTTGTGTGATGACTTTTAATGTTCGTGCATTATAACGTGTTTTTTTTCTCTCTCTCTCTCTCAAGTATAACGTGTTTGGTTAGACATCACTTATATGGATCTTGTTTTCGTTCAAATTACTGCCCGGTGAGGTGGTGACAAATAATTAGTAGGTGAATTTGGCACATTGAGCCCATGTTTACCCCAATATATGACTTGGCAAACTTGGCACGCTGATTAATATCTGTGAGACTGACAGTTGCACCCTATAGCAATGGGTGCAACTTTAATATCATGTTTTATTCATTGGGTGCAAAGTCTAATGTAAGCAATGTGCATTAGGATGCGCCTATGTGCTGTGTGAAGCCTAAGAGAATATAAAATATGAGGTGCAATATTGCAATGCCAATTACTGTTAAAAGCAATACTAATACTAATGTATTAATATTAATTTGTGTAGAAATTGTTCACTTGATTTCCTCTGAGCCATTGGGGTCTTTATCTTAATGGTCATTGTTTCGTACAGAGTATTGGCAATTGACATTAATGATATGCATACTGTGTTCAAAGCCTCTAAAATTAGAATGTGGGTGTGTACTTCAACGATATATCAGAATTTTGAATTTGTATTTTTATGTGGGCAACAAGATTTCTAGCTTATGTTCATAACAATCTCTCTATTAATTAAAAGGTTATGATTGGGTGTTTTTATCTCATTGAATAAATGTTGGCACAATTTATGATATTGAACTTAGTATTTTGAATAACTTATTTTTATATATCTTGTTTAAGTTTTTTTTTTTATCATAGATTCATAAAGGAGTTGCTGTTATATTAAAATCAAGAACACATACAAGACAACCTTCAAACAAAATTTACAGATCCAACCGTGAATCCTTAGGAATAGACTTAGAGTCAGCCACCTCATACAATGCAACATCACTTGCTAGTTGCTAAACCTAAAACAGGCAAATTTAGGCCTAAAATGATCGAAGTCGAAACCCTATCTATAAAATCAAATCAAATCTACTCGAACTAAAATTGAAACAATTGAAACTAAAGAGAAAATGATACTCAAATAAAATTTGTCCACAAAGCTCTTCGTGGTATGGAGGTGGTTCTGGGGGAGGATGAGCTCTTGCAATATGGGCGAAGACCAACTCAACCACCATCGAACTGGTCAACCAAGGCTTCACGATCCAACATCGACACAATCTTTTAGCCGCACATCGTTCATCCGCAAAGGCTATTTTCGTCGACGTAGTTGCAATCACAAGCATTAGAACACTTAAAATCAGTATACTATGCCGCTCCAACCCCATATTGATAGAGGCGACGGAAAATCTCAACCCCTACAAAGAGGGGAGAGGGCCACTAGGGTTTCTCTCTAGAGAGAGAAGAGAGAATAATATTTTAATGAGACTTTAATATATATCTTGTATAAGTTGTATTCTAACGTGTTATTTTGTATATCATAACATGTTGATATTACTCTTTTTTGAACGGGTTGATATTACTCATTTATGAATTACAAGTTTTTTCCTCTGAGATTCTTATATCCAAACACCTAATACCAACAAGTGAGACTCAATTGTTTGCATGCTCGTTACACAAGTCATCAATAAATACCGGAAAAATAAAAAAGAATAAATTTTTATTACATATTCTAACTTGAATATTCCTAGCTACTCCCTCCGTCTCCTTTTAAATGTCCCGTTTTACCATATTGGGATGTTCTTATTTAATTGTCTCATATCTTATTTGGTAAAGTTTGTGTGGCTCAAAATCATTCTTATGTTATTCTTACTTTATCAATTAATATCAACCACACAAACCGACTTTTCTTAAAACTCGTATCACCATCTTTCGGGACATTTAAAAGGGGACGGAGGGAGTATCAATTATTTCAAAACAATTCCAAGTAATGGGTCATGCTTTACTGATAACTTATTTCAAAACAATTCCAAGTAATGGGTCATGCTTTACTGATAACTTATTAGAGCATCTCCAATGGTAGAATGTGCACGGTGCATATGTGGCATGAGAGATAACCACATAAATATCAGCAAATAAATTATTTATCTCCTTGTTTGAATGACTTTATACAATTTTGGTATGTTTTGCCCTACAATGTCAACTGCAATGTCAACATTTAGACGGTCTCCTTGACATTGTGGAGAAAAACTTACCAAAACTGTATAAAATCATTCAAATAAGGAGAGAAAGAATTAATTTACTGATATTTATGTGGCTGTCTCTCATGCCACATGTGCACCGTACACATTTTACCATTGGAGATGCTCTTACTCAAATCAAGAAATTATACGTACCATTAATATTACCAATACTAGTATCTTTACACGTGCCGTGCACGGGTAGAAATAATTCTACTTTTTATTTCACTAACGAAAAATCACTTGTTTAGTCAATTATAACGTTGGTTTGTATTGCATATCTAATTTATTGAATACGAAGTATGTCTTATTTTTGAATTAATTATCTAAACATTTTTGCAATCTATATTTCATAATGGAAAGAACATTTTTTATAACTCTCAGTTGCATCCAAATGAAATAAATCTTTTCAACTATCTTTACCTAAACAAAAAAAAAAAGAGAAAATGTTCAATGCATATTTTTATCCATTAAATATCGAGCCCGTTTGATAACACAAATATCGCCTGATTCTGCTGAATTTTATGAGTTCTGACAAGATTAGCTGATTCTGTTGATTTATGAAAAAATTATATATAAAATATTCCCTCTATTCTTTGATAACTGTCTCTGATTCCATTTTGATCTGTTTTTTATTACTTGTCCTTCTTTCTATATTAGGACAATTTTTGAGATAAATACCCCGACTTTTATTACTTTTATCCTTTTTTACTTTACATAATGCTTTCTCTTTCCTACTTTATCATCACTTTACTATTCTTAATATACTCTCTTTCATATTTTATCACCTCTTTATACTTCTTAATATATTCTCTTCCCTACTTTATCATTTACCCTACATACTCCATAATACTCCTACTATTTTTTCTTAAAACCCGTGCCCAAGCCTAAAGGGACAGTTAATTATGGAAAGAGGGAGTATATTTTAATACTAAAATAAAAAAAACATACATGAAAAAATAGTTAAAATAATTTTCTACAGTATTTCGGCCAATGCAGTCAGAAAAGTAACTTCAACCTTACTTTTTCTTAGTGTTGAGTTTCATTCAACACGATATAGTAAATATAGATATATTTGGTATGAACACTCGACATTTACGTGCAAATCTGAAAGGGAGAAAATCACGAGACTTTTTATGCTAACATCCAAATCCTCTCATTCTCATTAATACTCTCCTCACCATTATAACGTACATCTTGAGCTCCCATTAATGGAGTCTTTGAGCTAGCTAGAGAGAAAAATAAAGTTGAGGAAGAAGAGAAAAACAGATCCTTCCTTAGGAGGGAAATCCTCCTATTTATAGAGGAAAGTGGAAGGGGTGCTCTCCACCCTAATGGGCTAAACGGGCCAATATGGGCCTGCCGGGCCAAGGTGGGCCAGATGGCTGAAACGGGCCTGGCTGATCAGGCTCCGTACTGGGTAATGCCTTGGTCTCTTGAACAGTGGTAGGTCGGGATAATATATCTCAACACTTAGTATTACAAAACTCAGTGCGTGAAATAAAAAATTACGTATTTTGGTAAAAAAGTTGGTTGATAAGCCGAAAAATAGTGTCACCAAATAGGCTCATCATCCGTGGCTTACTGTTTTGTTTTTCAAAACTAACTACACGTTTTGGTAATTTATGAATTTAAAAATGGGTGCAGTCAATTTGTTTTTGAAGTTATTAGCCGTTCTAGGTTTTAGAATTTTGCAAATTAGTCATTCAATCTCCTTGTTTGAGAAAAGCATAGAATATATAATTTTGTGGCATTCCTATTATAAAGGTGATGGCGACAGTAACACGCTGCCTGTTGTGATTGGTAACGATCGATTTATTCTTCATTAGATTAATTATTGAGGGTAATATAAATTTACTAAGTGAAATAATAAGTGTTATTGAACTTATAGTATGTATGATCCTTATGATAATTAAAGTTGTATAGATGCAATTTCTTTTTGAAAAAATGAGAACCATGAGCTAGGCAATTCTAATCTAACTCAACATCTCATTGAAAATTTGGTGGCTTGGAGCTATTAAACACATTTTATCCTTATTTTGAAACATTGACTTATATAGCTAAATAACTTCATTAAAAAGATTCACACATGAATAAAATTCATATTCATGATTTTGAAACATTTTTAAGATTTGTTTTCTCAAATAGATCATAATTAAGGAATTAGTTTTTGAGATTATATGTATTATTTTTGTAATCCCTTTTTACACTTTAGTACCCAATCATGTGTCATCATCTCAATTTTGGTGACAAATGAAAATGTACTCGTGAATATTTTTTAAAATATGAATGATTAACTCCATAATAATATAGTTTTTAATTCCTATGCATATCTCACTTCTGCTTGCATTGTGATTAACTCCATAATAAGCTAATTAACTCATGAACACTTTAAAAATGTCTAATTAAAAACATCTTTATTACTCTTATTAAGATTATAATAGGATATTAGAATGTGTAAAATGTTTCGGCATATTTATCCTAATCTAATATGAAGTTCTAAAGATTATGGAGGACTCTTTGTTTTTAATTGAACTGAAATTTTCTGTTATGATGTCATTTGATTTGATCTTATTTGATCTGATCTAGTTTGGTCATATTATCTGGGCATTTTATACTCTTTTTGTCAAATAGATTTACCTCATTCAACTAATAGTTCAAATGCATCATTTCAAAAGTTAGCTTCAGAAAATAGTCTTGCGTTCATATAATTGCCAAATATAGTGCTAATTGCCAAATATAGTGCTAATCTAAAAGACCATTTGGCAACCCTTGTTTTCAGCTCTTGGGTAAATTCTTTTAACCAATTGCATAATTTTGACTTCGCGCGTTGAATTTAGATAGGATTAAAATAATTCAGGTTGGAGTGATTTTCTAGCTGAATTGGCTTGAGTCACTTCAACCAAAATTT